TGATTGGGAGTTTGGTTTTATGGTCTGGCCGTTTGGTGATTTGTGTTGGACGGATGATGTAGATCTCTGTTAGATGAGAAACAACATAGGGCCAGGTGCAGTGGCTCATGCCTGTAGTCCCAGCACTTTGGGCAGCTGAGGCAGGAGGATTGCTTGTGCCCAAGAGTTTGAGAGCAGCCTGGGCAACAAAGGGAGAACCTGTCAAAAAAAAAAAAAAAAAAAAAGACCCTGTAACTAAAAAAAAAAAAAAAAAAAAAAAAAAGGAAAGAGAAACAACATGAAATCCAACCTGTTAGTCTTCTCTCTGTTTGTCTATGAGCTCAAACGAATTAAGAATTTTGTGCCAAACTCAGCGGCTTCTGCCTGTAATCCCAGCACTTTGGGAGGCCAAGGTGGGAGGACCACTTGAGCCTAGAAGTTTGAGACAAGCCTAGGCAACATAGCAAGACGCCATCTCAACAAAAAGAAAACAATCAACAAAAACAAACAAATGACAATAAAAACAAATAAACATAAACTTAGTTTGGCATGGTAGTATGCTACCAGCTACTTAAAAGGCTGAGGTGAGAGGGCTACTTGAACCATAGAGGTAAAGGCTGCAGTGAGCTATGAATGCATCACTGTATTCTAACCTGGGTGGCAAAGTGAGACCTTCTCTCTAAAAAAATAAAAGAATTTTGTACCCACCACGGAAAAGAACAACTCTTTGAGATCTGGACAGTGGATTTTTGTTTCTATATTTACTTTTATCTGTGGCTACAACTGTAAGCTCTCTCTAGGTAGGTATGTCTATATTTCAGAAAGACATCTAACTCCTGTTTTTGAGACTTAAATATTTTTCTACTTCCAAAAGATTTAATAAGTTAGATTATAATATACCTTAAATTTGAAGAACTCTGTTCTCATTGACCTGTAGAGACAATGTTTCAAAAATTTACAGAAAATACAGAAGTTAAACTTTGAAAATTGTTCAAAGTGGTAGCCTTTCAAGAAAAAAGATCTTCCCATAAATTTGTCAGCTTAAAAATATGTGTACATAGAATACAGGTTTATACATTACAGTTGAACAATCCTTAGTTTAATAATTTGGGTTTAAAAAAGCAAACAAATGCAGCTGTGTATCCATTCCCAAATTTTATCAGCATAGAATACAAGAGTACATTTTATAAGATTAGGATTTAATGTCTCATGAAGAAACTAGTCTATCAGACCTTTATAAATATTTAACAGATTATTTATCGAGAAAAAGTTACAGTTGCTCCTATATAATACTAGAGACTATGAAAATGTTAATTTGTGTTCAATTAATTTGAAACATTAATATGAAAAATTTGTATATCATCACTAATACTTAGTGATACGTAGTGATGATATAAATATGACACATATTTTAGTGTATCAGGTTGAATATAATATCTAAGATTGCTAGATGACTTAAAACCTTAGACAAATGTTAAGTAAAAAATAACTAATGAACATTCAGGTAATTTCTAAATATAGCTATATATTTAAAATTATGCTTAATAATCTATGTTTCAAAATATAGCTATATTTAGATATTGTTTAAATTGATTCTGAATGTTGGAGGTGGGGCCTAGTGGGAGGTGTTTGGGTTTTGAGAGGAGATTCCTCATGAATAGATTAACGCCCTCAGGGTGAAAGGGATAAGTGAGCTCTTACTATTGGTTCCTGCTAGAGCTGGTTACTGAAAAGAGTGTGGTGTCTTCTCCCCTCTTTCTTGCCTCCTCTCTCTTCATGTGATCTTTGCACACCCCAGCTCCCTTTCACCTTCTACTACGAATGGAAGCAGCCTGAGGGCCTCACCAGAAGCAAAGCAGATGCTGGCATCATGCTTCCTGTACAGCCTGTGGAACTATAAGCCAAATAAACAAAACTCTTTTCTTCATATATTGCCCAGCCTCAGGTATTCCTTCATAGCAACACAAATAGACTGACAGTGACTTCGATAAAGTTATCACTGATAAGAATATTGAGGCTATACTGAGAACAATAATGACAGAGAAATATTAATATGGTGGCCAAGTACATAATGGAATGTACTTTTGTTTATCAAAACAAAAAAAGAATCTTGTCTTAAAGTTCTGGCTATTCCAGAATGTGAAACCTAAAGATGATAGAAAAATACAAACAATGAACAGCTGCAGAAAGATGTAGAAGGTTTGCAAAAAGGAGGAATCATTTATTTCTCTTGCTTTATAATACTTGAGACTGGGAAGAAAGCAGTAGACTCTATTAAAATTTTATCAAAGGTGGCTTGGTTACGATGGGTTTATCCATAAGAAAAGCATTTCTGTGTCTTCTTCCTGCTAAATATGTTTGCAAAAAGCCTAGAATTTGATTTTAATCTGTTAAAACTATAAATTAATTTTATAACTCTTAACAAATGATTATTCTTTATTTTCTGTGTAATCTGCCCAGAGAGTATAGATTCTCTGTCTTACCAGGTATAGTCTCCTTTGAATATATTTTGATAAAAATTACTATTAGGTGAACTTCATCTAAGTTTCCTATTTTTGTCAAGCTTTCACATTTGCGAATCTTTGAAGTCACCCATTGCCACCAAACCAAATACTCATTATATAGAAAAGAAAAAATAAAATGAGAAGATGATGATTTTTGGAAATATACAGGAAAACAAAAACGACAGAAGTAAGATAAGTCACTTTTTCTCTCCCACATTTCAGCATGTCGCTATGACTAGTAGATTTGGGAAGGGTATGTTTTGAATAAAAATATTACGGCCAGGCGCAGTGGCTCCTATCTGTAATTCCAGCATTTTGGGAGGCCAAGGCAGGCACATCACCTGAGGTCAGGAGTTTGAGAGCAGCCTGGCTAACATGATGAAACCCCTTTTCTATAAAAATACAAAAAATTAGCTGGGTATGTTGGCATGTGCCTATAATCCCAGCTACTCGGGAGGCTGAGTGGAGAATTCCTTGAACCCAGGAGGCAGAAGTGGCAGTGAGCTGAGATCACGCCACTGTACTCCAGCTTGGGCAACAAGAGCAAAACTTTGTCTCAAAAAAAAAATTACATATGAGTAAATTTTAATTTAAAAAATTAAATTTAAAAAATTAAAATTTACTTGCATTTTAAAAGTTTAAAATTAGTAATGAATCACATTAGTATTTATGCTTTATTTCTTAGTAAATATATGTTTTAAAACATATTTTTAAATGTTTATTCATGCTGTAATACTTTATGGAGAGTCAACAGAAGGTCTTATTCATTGTTCTGATGGGCTAAAATATAATTACTCCTAGGTACTACTACTATTATCTACATTATACATCCTAACAACATAGATCATCAAATTCTGCATAAATGTCGTCGTTGTACTGAGTTCCCTGATGCGTGATAAAGGCAAATGTTTTAATAGAAACAGAAAAATAAATTAAAACAAGCCCAGGATGTTCATGGTGATTAATTCAAAATTATACCAAATTCCTAAAACAACTATCTTCAGATTAATTACATGGAATAATGTATGCCAATGAATGCCATCACCACTACTAGAAACATTTCTTTTGATAAATACAAGTGTTTTGACAATATTTAATACTATTTACTATGCCAGACCTCCAAAATGGTTTGATAAAGAACAAATTAGGTTTCTTTGAAAGCTGGAGAGATCTTGAAGATTCCTTTCAAGTACTCATTTTGGAGAAAAGAAAAGTGAGGCACAGAAAAATCAGGTGAGTAAAGCTACATGGCTAGTTTTTTGCTTTTGTTTTTGTTTTATTTTTGGAGACACGGTCTCACTCTGTCACTCAAGCTGGAGTACAGTGACATAATCATGGCTCACTGCAGCCTTGACTTACTGGGCTCCAGTAATCCTCCTATCTACTCCCAACTAGCTGGGACTATAGGCTCGTGCCACCACACCAAGTTATTTTATTTTATTTATTTATTTATTTATTTATTTATTTATTTATTTATTTTTGTAGAGATGGGATTTTACCATGTCGCCGAGGCTGATCGCAAACTCCTGGGCTCAAGTGATTTATCTGCCTTGGCCTCTCAAAGTGCTGGATTACAGGTATGGCCACCACGCCTGACCTACATGACTAGTTTTTAATAAATTCCAGGGCACTGCTCATTTTATTTAGTCAACCATAAGAGTGGGAGATAATTCAAGTTTTTGGAGACTTTTTTTCTTTTTGAGAGATAAAAAATATATGACAAACATTGTAACAATCATCTCTACTATCATAGTTCAGAATTAACAACTGTTAACATTTTTGTCATATTTGCTCCAAGTCTATTTTTCTTTAATGCATTCAACCTTACTCATAACTAAAAGTTCCTTTAAATATCACTGCAAGTGTTATTTGGGGTGTTTGGGATGTAAACTTCTAGTTCAGCACTGTCCACCAGAAATATAATGGGAGGCACATATGTAATTTTAAATGTCTAGTAGCCACATTTAAAATAAGACAGGAACAGAAAATTAAACACCGCATGTTCTCACTCATATGTGGAAGCTAAAAAAAAAGTTGATCTGATAGAAGTAAAAAGTAGAACAGAGGATACTAGAGGCTGGAAAGAATAGGGAGAAAGTGGGGGATAGGTTGAGATTTGTTAAACAACAAAGTTACAGCTAGGTGGGAGCAATAAGTTCTAGTATTCTACACCATTGTATGATAACTATGGTTAGTAATAATATATAGTTTCCAATAGCTAAAGGGGGGATACTGAATATTCCAAGCACAAAGAAATGATATATTGGAGGATGGATATGCTAATCACCTTGATCTGATCATTATACATTATATGTATCAAAATGCTACTATGTATTTCATCAATATGTACAATTATGTAAAAATTAAAATAGGAATGTAAGTAACAATGTAAACAATTGGTTCACGAATTGTGGCAAACGCACCATACTGATGTAAGATGTTAATAGCAGGGGAAACTGAATATCACTGCAAGTGCTTTTTGAAACTGAATATCACTTCAAGTGCTCCCTGTACTGTCTGCAATTTTTCTGTAAACCTAGCACTATTCCAAAATACAGAGAAGATTAGCATGGCTCCTATGCAAAGATGACACACAAATTCGTGAAACATTTCATATTTTTTAAAAAAGAAAAAAAACATTATGCTAAGTGAACTGGGCCAGTCACAGAAGACCGCATGTTGTATGATTTCGCTTCTATAAAATGACAATCTATAAGTACATCCTTAGGGACAAAAAGTAGACTTGCAATTGCCTGACTGGTAATGGGAACAGGCTTGTTTCAGGGTGATGAAATGTTCTAAATTTATTGTAGCAATGATTGCACAACCCTGTGAACATATAAAAACTTTAAATTGTACAACATATATGAGAGAATTGTGTGACATATTAATTCTTACTTCAATAAAGGTGTTTTGAAACAAATATAAAAAGTTAATTACATTTTTAAAGTAAAAAGAAACAAGTGGAATTAATTTTAATAATTATTTTATATAACCCAATATATACAAAATATTATTTCACCAGACAGTCAACATTTAAAAAGTGTTAATGAGCTATTGTTATCTTTTTTTCGTGTGTAACTTACACTCACAGCACATCTCTATTCAGATTGGCTGTATTCCAACCACTCAATAGCCACATGTGGCTAGTGGCAGAGATTGGACCAGCCCAACTCTCATCCATTTTTAAAAATGGTTTCATGTATATATGCATTCACAATACATAGTATTGTTTCTATATTATGAGTTTAAAGTTCCATACATAATGCATGGTTTGTATCATCCTCTAATTTTCTTTCTTAACATGTTATATTTAAGATGTATTTGTGATAATGTGTGTACATCAAATTATTTAAATTGCCATAGTCGCCCATTGTGTGAATATAAGCTATTTTATTCATTCATTCTCCCATTGGCGTATATTTAGGTTGTTTTCAGTCTTTTGGTTTTATAAATAAAAATACAATGAACATTCTTATATGTGTCTGCAACTTCCTAATTTTGCTAAGTAGGAGAGGGATGCTGAGAGAAATTAAGTAACTCTTCCAGTGTTACAAAGTGATATAACTATATAAATGCTGACTTTAAGGAACTTATTAAATAGATAAGTCATTTTGATTTGGAAGACAGTGTAATCAAAATCACTTTAGTAACTTTTCCAAGTTATACAGCTCTGCCTGTTTACCTACTGCAAACTCTAAACCCCTGCACCAGCTGCGATCTACTAGAAGGTGAGGAGGTGAGAATATTGAGACTTGTCTAAACCTCAGAATTTAACAGTTAAGAAATATCCCCAGCTTCTGTGTTCTGGGAAATGGCACATCACAGAGGGCCACATTGCCCTCACATATTGCAAGATAAGAATGCCTTCTCTTGTAAATCCCATAATGCTTCCAGTCCATCCCTTCTCATGGCTTCCTGTTCAAAACTCCAGGCTTTCTCCCTCTTCTTTGAGATGTTCCACATTCATGAATGTTCTCCCAATTGCAAGGGCCTAAATAAAATCATATCCTTATCTTCTTATAGCATTTGTCTTTTACAGCTTTGGTGCCATGACTTGGATAGGATCACATCTTGCTTTCAGATCTCCATCTGTTCCACCCAGGCAAGGAGGCCTGTTGGAGCCCTTTGTGCTCCATTCCTGATGGGTGCACTGAAGACCAGGGATGGTTCTGACTCTTCATGCTGGGCTCTCAACTCATGCACTCTGGAGACCCATGCCCAATGGCAGCATGGTGGGGACTTGACTTTGATTCCTTGTGAGAATTCACTTGATTTCTGATTGTGGCTTTTTTTTTCTTTCCTTTCTTTCTTTTTTTCCTGAGATGGAGTTTTGCTTTTGTCACCCAGGCTGGAGTGCTATGGTACAATCTTAGCTCACTGCAACCTACACCTCTAGGGTTCAAGTGATTCTCCTGTCTCAGCCTCCCAAGTAGCTGGGATTACAAGCATGTGCCACCATGCCCAGCAAATTTTTGTATTTTCAGTACAGACAGGGTTTCACCATGTTGGCCAGGCTGGTTTCAAACTCTTGACCTCAGGCAATCCACCCACTTTAGCCTCCCAAAGTGCTGGGATTACAGATATGAGCCACTACGCCTGGCCTGATTTTAGCTTGTTTTGGTTTTGTGGTCTGACCATTTGGTGATCTCTGTAACAGATTAATGATTTTAAAGAAGTCTATCTCTCTTGGATGAGAGTTGACAATCTGGTGTGTTAGTTTCTTCTGTTTGTCTACCTGTCCATATTGAGCTCAAATAAATTAAGGATTCATACCTGCTGTGAAAAGAACAGCTTTTTGATATGAACCAATGAGTTTTGTAATTATGTATTTATACTTGACCCTTGGCTAAAATTGCAGAATTGAAGCTGTAAGCTCTCTCTATGCCTACACGCATATGTATTTATAATTCAGAAAGGTCTCATTGTATGAATGTACAATATTTCTCTCCCTTAGGATGGTATTAATCATTAGATTAATCATTAGATTATAAAATCTCTTAATGGTGTTCTATTCTTATTATTTTAGAGATTAGTAAATACTTACATAAATTGAATATTTATAATACTTCCAGAAATTAAGAAAATTGAATCTAGCCAGGCATGGTGGCTCACACCTATCATTCCAGCTCTTAGGGAGGCAGAGGCAGGAAGATAGCTTGCGCCCAGGAGTTCAAGACCTGCCTGAGCAATATAGAGAGAACTTGTTTTCCATAAAAAGGGGGGAAAAATAAGTGAAAATTGAATGTTACTTTCAATGTCTTGATTTAAAACTTATTTTTACAGAAAGTAACTTGGATATGATTTAGGAATTCAAGTTCGCATAATTTAGATAAAGCTTTGGCAAACAAGACTAGTTTAATATTTTTGGTTTTAATAAAAACAACTATGTCTTCCCTGATTTATCAGGGTTAAGTATAATATATACATAGATTTTTATTCTTCTTGGGAATGGTCTGTGCAAATGTATACAGATTTACTGATTTATTAAACTTGTATTACTAATGTTTAAGATTAATGTTTAAAATATGAAAAATATAAATTTGTATTTAACCAAATAAATTATTATAATGACAAACTTTATATCAATAGTAATTATGTTTTATAGTATGTCAGCTTGAAGATAATTTCCAAGATCTTTAGGCAACTTAAAACCTCAGATTTACACTAAAGTTAGTTAATTGACAGATATTTATTGAATACCTAAATCATTTCCAAGTAAGACAGAGTACTGAAACAAAGTAAAGTCTTAAGTTCTTAAGTTTATCTATATTTTGCCTCTTAGTTTCTGTTACTTGGAGACTATATGCTTGGGCCTGTTAATGAACACGCTGATTTTTACCACTCTGTAAAGTTGTTCTACAAGGAATGTGTGGCTGCAGGAAGTCGTGAGTTGTATATTCATGAGCTCAGCTTGTCTGCTGAAAAATACTAGTGTGAGAATGGTTTTCTCCTAAGGAGAAATAACTGACCATTGTTGTGAAAGACAAAGCCTGAAGAGATGTAGGAAGTTCACCAAGAAAAAAAAAAGAGAAAGAGAAATTTATTTACTATGGTCAAAGTTAGCTAAAGGTTGAAGGGTTTATTTATAAGATTTTCAAAAACAGCCTGTGTTTACCTTGTCTGCTTTAGTAAAAGTTTGTAAAGGGATTTGTTGTAGTTCTTGTTGTTGGCTTTTTTTTTTTTTTAACCTTCTGAGTAATCGTTGGATTACTGAACAAAAAAGAGTATTATTCCTCTTGAACGAAAAGGGGAATTGATGATGTTAAATTTTAATCCTTTACCGATATTCTGGGAAATGGCTAACCACCAGGAACCACCCTGCCTGACATATTCCACAGTAAGAATGCCCTCCACCCTCTTCTCCAAATCTCTGAGTGCCCCTGCCTATCCTTCTTCACAGCCCTCTTGTTTACCTGCCTTTCTATACCCCAGGTGTTCTTGCTCTTCATTAATCCATGGTTTGCCTGAATAAAATAATCTCTTTAATTACCAAGTGCATTTTGTCTTTCACAGGGATACAATCCTTATCTTAAGTAACCTTAACAAGTGATAAACGTAGCAAGCAATGCCTGTTAAAAAAACAGAACAAAACAAACAAACAAAAAAAAACCAAGATGACTAAGTGGTCTATTTTATGATGACTTTTATGGAAACAAGCCATAGAATAAAATACGAAGGACAAGAGGGAAATTTTCACTTACTAGAAATCCTCAAGAAAACCAAAACTATCTTCCATAGGTACTGTCCCCAGGGGTGACCAGAAACTGCCAGAAAGAAAGAAATTATTACTAAATTTCCCACCCCGAATCCGACATTGCTGAAAATAGCAGAAATAAGAGACTTAAGTGCAAGTCCTGCTACAGTATGAGCTGGAATTTTTTATAAAAAAAAGTTTTATTAAGCTCCAAATCCTGACAATCATGGAGGGCTCCTAGCAGAATGTTTATAGCATGAACTGTAAAGGGGCGTTTCTTAAGTAATGATCCAGAAGCAGCTTCCTGCCCCCAAGAGACAAAGGTGCATCCAGAGAGTAGGAAGGAAGAATCAGGAGCCAGGAATAACTGGTTGGTACCTTAGAATGAATCCATTGTTCGGGATGGAATATGTAAAGAGTGACAGGCACCATAGGTCCTAGGAGACCTAGCCTATCAGAGGATAGCCTAGGAGACTGCAGGCCTTTGGGAAGTGATACAGGTCCAACCGAAGCTGAAGCGGGTACTTGGGAGGCAGGGCATCAATGTGAGCACTCCCCTGTATCATCGTAAAGCCTAGCAAGAATTCATCAGCCCTCTTGGAATAGCACAGAAGGGGATAATTTGCTTTGCTTGTTGGGTTAAGGTGATGTCAAGTGTCGTCTGGGGTCTAGGCTTGGGTCTCAGATAACCACAGCAGATGCAGCAGGGCATGAATGTGAAAGATCAAGTGTTACAAGCCACATCTTAGCAATGGTCAAAGAGTACATGATGTAACAGGAAGGCCAGAGAGCCCTCACCTTATCCCAGAACAATAAGTCACAATATTTCAGCCAGGTGGGAACTTACATAACTTCCATGGAGAAGGATAGCAAAGCAGAGAAACTCCTGGATTGATTCAGTAGGCACACAAATATACAAAGTTT